TTACCAGTTTCATTAAGGTTGGAACCATATAGCTGAGTATTACTGTGTTATTTATTGAGCCAAAATGCTCAGCGGAGGTCATAACACCCTAGAGGAAGAAGGCTCGCAATTAAGGCTGGGGTGAACCGTCACAAATACTCTCTAAGACCCTGAGGGGGTATTCTTTTTTGGGATTTTGAGAGGGGGAAAAGTTGGTTAATCAGATTTTGATTCTCGTTGACCAAAAATCCCATGTTCTTTTTTCATATTTATGTGGGGACCAGGGAAAGTTTATTTTCCTGGGTATATCCATCTCCTAGGTGGGTAAATAACTTTCCCACCTAGGGGAAGGTTGCCAACACTTGAATGGGACAAAAATGCCTCTTTTAATAATAGATTTTTATGGCTAAAATGGTCAATGCTTTATTTACCTAGAAAATAAAAGAACATGAATAAATGCACTTACCTGGGTAAGTATTTCCCAGGAAAAACTTATGCAGGTAATTGCATTTACTCGGATAAATAACTTAACGAAAAGTGAACAAAGCCTGAAAAGGACAAAACTTGCCCTCTAGGGTGGCCACATGTGAGGTGTTAATTGGTGTAGGTGATTCTGATAAGACTCTAACTCTTTCTTTAATTTGTCAAACAATCACCAATTGCCTTGACTCAGAGTGTTTTTTGTGCGGCATCAAATTATGTACGTGGGGGACTTCGGCATTCTAAACCCATCCTTTTTGGAACCCTCTATTCCTTGAATCCCTTGGAGCTTCTGCATCTTTTGGCATCTAATCCCAATCTTTGTAGCTCATAGACTAACCTTATCCTTGGCTACATGAAAAATAAAAGTTGGATCAACAAAATAAAAAATATAAAGAAGGCCCAACCCAACATCACCTCAAAATAGAGGGGCCTGAAGTACACAAAAACCACATACCAACTTTACAAAACGCAAAATGTTATAAATGTAGGAGATGTATATTGATACTACTAATAGCAAATTGAAGATAAAAATATAAAATTTAAGAAAGAATAATTTTGTTATAAGAAATCAAAGAAATTCAAGAGAAAATAATTTAATTGAAAAAAAAGTAGGAAGCTACTAACAACAAGCAAAGTTAGAGAAGTAAAAGAATTGTATATATTTTATATACAATTTTTACTAATTTTTTTATAATATAAAAAAATAACAATAATTAATTCTAACTAGGGTTGTTCATCAAACTGATGAAACCGACTGGCCAAACCAACTCGACCAAAGTTGGTCAATTTTCTAGTATTTTCAATTGGCTTTGGTTCAACAATTTCCCAACCTAACTCGGTTGGATCAGTTTTTCTTTGGCCATTTATAAATCGACCAAAATTGAACAACCTAACCACATATATAATATTAATATTTTATGTTTTTAATATAAATTTTTAATACGGGAAAGTAGGAAAATTCACATATTTCTTAATCTAAAATATTTTATATCATAAATTTATTTTATAGATTTATTTTTTAAATGCCACTATAATTATTTTAAAATTTAAATTTAATTTTTTAATTTTAAATATTTTGAACCGACCGATGAAACTAAAAATCGACAATACGACCCAAGTTGGCCGATTTTCACTAATGGTCAGTCGATTTCGAGTAACTAAATCCCCAATTTGGCCAGGTCTATTTGGTTGGCCAAACAACCTACAACTGAGTTGAACCAATCCATGAACAGTCCTAATTTTAGCTAAATTAATAGTCTAATCTCTAATAAATAACAATAGTTTAATATCCAATAATTATTGAAATTTTATATAAAAATAAACAATTATTGAAAATATATTGATAATGTAAATACAATAAATAACTAATAAAAATATAATAAATAAAATTATTACAAAAATATAATAAATACTAAAAAATATATTAAATTATTCAAGAAAAATAATTTAATCTCCAATAAATATAATCAATAAATTATAACAAAAATACAATAATTAGAATAAAATAAATTTAAGAAGTTAAATATATAATAGTAGTTTAAACTCCAATAATTATTGAAAAATTTCTATTAAATGACTGAAAATAATAAATAATTAGTGAAAATACAATAAATGTTAATTTTAGTATAGATAAATATATAGTAGATATAGATTAATATTTTAAAATTATTATTAATAAATATTATTTTTTTGAAAGTTACTTTATAGAGTTATTAATAGATATAAGTGAAATTAGTTATTTACAATATTATTTAGTTATTTAAATAATATCATTATTTAAATTTTAAAATGCTTTATTATTTATTGAATTTAATAATCCATAAATTATAATTCATACTATTATTATATAATTTTCTGATTAAATTTGTAAAATATTAAATTATTATTAATTTGATTATTATGTTATAGTTATTTTTCTACTTTTAAGAATTTTTTTGTATTTATTACATAATTTTCTTATTTAACTATTTAAAATCTAATTATGTTAAATATTTCATTAGTTAAAATATTTTGTTATTTAAATATTTAAATAATATATAAAATATTTATAACTTTTTGTTATTTGAATTTTACTTATTTTAAAGTTATTACATAATATTAAATATTTGTTTATATAATTATGTCGCTACTTTTAATATTTTGTTATTTGAGATATTTAGTTATTGATATATTTAAATAATATTTTTTAGTGTTAAATTTTTATTGTTTGAATTCATTTAAACTGAATAATCCAAAAAATCACCATAAAGCAGAACAATCCAAGAGAGAACCTATAGCCCCCTGCTTTTTGGTGACTTTTGACTGAATTGGTTAGAGACGTGATAGATCAGGTTTCCTAGAATCCTAATCTCATTAGACACGCTACCAAAATTTGATTGGTGGCAGTTCTATGACCTGGGCTGGGCCTGCTGAGGTGTCATTATGAGAGAGGGAGAAGGGAGTGATGAGGTGGCTTCCTGAGGGAATAAGAAAGGCTAAAATGAAGAGGGTCTGAGAATTTTAGGTTGGAGTAAGAGAGAAAGCTTAGGCCATGACATAGCATGTTTCTTCTTTAGTGTGTGTGTATGAAAAATTCCTGATAAAAGAGTGATTAAGGTTTTAATTTTTTTTTCAACTAAAGCTAAAAGCATATTTCATTCAATCAAGAAACTTGTATGAATACAAAGAATTGGTAACGGTACCAAACAAGAAAGCCTAGATACAATTTCTTAAAAAGAACAAATTAAATATACACACAAGTAGTGGATAAATGAGAAGGTAAGGAACTTCTACAACCAATGAATGGTTAGGTAAAATCACCAACAGAAGGATCAATCTAGTGCATCTCCCACCAAAACTGAGAGATAAAGGCAATATAAATTCTCAAAGGAAAGGACAAAGTGTCGGAAATAGCATGATCGGAGAAAAGCTACAAAAGATGACAAAGTCCCAAATAATTGCACCCATTACCAATAATTGCAACTACCATCAGGAGACTGCAACCACCATCAAGAAATGCAATCGCCGATGGAAATATAGTCGGGAAACAACCATGAACGATGAAATCCAAAGTAGCAATCATGGCCACCACCCAACACCAAATCAATGAAGAGTCATCCCCCTATACCAAATTCGTTGCACAAAAGAAGCAAAGAAGAAAACAAAAAGAATAAATAAAGGGGAATAAGGGGTGAGAGGAAAAAAATAATGAGGTGACGGAAAAAGGGTGAGCAACTGTATAATGGAAGGATTAATTAAGAGGGAGAGAGAAGATCGAGTGAGAAAAGGGGAGAAGGGAAGGAGAAAAAACAAGATAAAAGAGAAAAGAGGGAGAAAGGGGGAAATAGAAAAAAGGGAGAGGAAGAACTCCGAGAGGGGAGCCATCGAAAAACAAACTCGATGGGGGAAGATGGACGACGAGAAGAAATTCGAGGAAACTTGAGAGTCTCTCCCTAGGGAGGAAAAAAAACCACCTTTCAGGCATCATTTGGAACATTTTTGATACATGCAAACTATAAGGGTGTTTTAATAGTAGGAAGTACTTAGGCTCGAGTAGCAATTTGGTCCCCGAACTTTAAAATGGGACAATCCAATACGAACTTTCAAAATGTGACAATTTAGTATCTGTCATTAACTAGTCTATTAATTAGCCATTAAGTGATATTTGAAAAGTAAAAAATGCCCTTATAATGCATCTAATTCTCTTTATCAACCATCCAAACATTGACAAAAAACTAAATAGTCCCAAATCCTAGCCTCTTCTATTCAAAAAAGTTGGTGATTATTTAGAAGAATCTAGAATTTGGGTATGTTCATTTTATTGTCAATGTTTGGATGATTGATAAAGAGAATTAAATGACATTCTTAGAGCATTTTTGACTTTTTAAATGTCACTTAACGGTTGATTAATGAACTAATTAACGACAAATACTAGATTGTCACATTTCGAAAGTTCAAATATATGATTATCACATTTTGAAAGTTCCGATATTGAATAATCGCATTTTAAAGTTCAGAAATAAAATTATCATTCGAGCGAAAGTACATAATACTAATAAAGAATTTTCCTACCCTTAATAATATAGAAATTAGATGCTACGCTTTTAGTAAATACGTGAGACCACGAGGGGCGTCCATTGTCTAAGCAAATGATCGTATCCCCTTAATACATCTTTCCATTACTCAATCAAATACGTGCAGACCATATGTCTATTAGACTTTTGCTAAAGCCACACATATACCACTTAATCCCACATCATTAATCAATCAAAGCCATCATTTGTAAAGGTTCAATATTTATCGATCTCAACTTAATTGCCGGGTCCATTTTATTGAAACAATCTTGACATGCAAAGGCTATTCTCCATCTCTCCCTGAGACCCTGAATCTTTACATGTGTGATGTTCTCTCTCATGCCGACCCACAAATTAAATTAACTCAAAATAAATAAATAAATAATTAACAATAAAACTGTACTCTCTTCATTATTAATTTTGTATTTTATTCTGTTTTAAAATTTTGTTCTTTAAAAGGGAGCAAACGAACCAACGAACTCTGACTGGGTTTTTCAATGACGGAGACACCCTTTTCTTGCAGGCTTCTTTGTTGGAAACTGCAGTAAAAGTGGTTGCCTCCTTAATCCTTCAAAATTCTTTTCATCTGCCTTTCCTTATTTATTTATTTATTTCAATTTAATTTAATTTTATTCGTTTTGTTTATTTAAAAATTAAAAACATTCACGGTTACATTACATCCTGGCGATTTGCTCCTTTGGCTTCCAATACGAAAAGGTCATCTTTTGAGGATTATATACGATTTGGGTATGGATTGAAACAGAAAACTGTATAGAAATTCGACATCGGGTATTGGATTTTTTGGCAAGGGAGAAATTTGATGTGGGTTGTTATCATTTTTGGTGAAAAATAACGGATTTTGAGGGAAAAGGTGGAAGTTTTTGTTGTCTATTGCTTGTGCTGTGGAAGTTCTAGATATTATTTTTTACAAGGAATCTAATGGGCAGTCACATTTGGATTGGTTTTTAAATGAGTAATTCCGATACGGGTTGTTGTTCTTATGGCGAGAATTGAGGAATTATGTACAGAGACAGAACAGGGTTCTTTGCCCTTTTTCTATTAATCTAGTTGGGTTTCGTTTGAGTGTAGTGAGATATCCAAGCACTGAAGCCAATTCCCTTGGTTGTGTTATGGGGGAAACTGGTGTTGGTTGTTATTAGTTTGGTGAAAGGACAAGGAATTTTGTGAAGAGAGTGGCAGACCGTTTTTGTTTTGACAGGTTTTTGGTTGCTTTGGCAAAAATAAGTCATGGATGAACTGCTTCGGCTTCACGGTAAGAGATTTTAATGTGGGTTCTTATTTTCGACCAGCAGTACAAGCATTTTGCGCAGAAGAAAACCCAAGCTCTTTTGTTCTGTTCTTGTTTAGTGGTATGCCCTTCTGGTTTGTAATCATCGAAGATCATGAGATTTCTGAGCGTTATGGGCAATTCCTTTGGATGCTCTGCTTCTGGGGAGCGCCTGGTTTCCGCTGCAAGGGATGGGGATTTTCAGGAAGCCAAAGCTCTTTTGGAGTATAATCCACGTCTGGCAAGGTACTCAACCTTTGGCGTTCGCAATTCTCCCCTTCATTATTCTGCAGCTCAGGGACACCATGAGGTAATCCAGTACTATGTCTTTTACTTCTTTCAAAGTAGATTTATATGTTTGAAACTGCAGATATTACATTTCTTTTTGCTCCATTAATGGCTCTACTGTTTCATTTATACAGATTGTGACTCTCTTGCTGGAATCTGGGGTGGATATTAATCTCAGGAATTATAGAGGGCAGGTAGATAATCTAATTAATTTTAATATTGAGTTTCATTTTACTGGGTTTGGGTTGAATTTGTTTTTCTAATAATCCACATTTCCACTGTTTAGTTTCCAAAAACCTTCCCAATTTACACTTGAAAGTTCAATTGAATTTTATTTGAAAATTATGTATTTTATTATGGTGAGCAGACTGCTTTGATGCAAGCCTGTCAACATGGCCACTGGGAGGTTGTTCAGACTCTGATGCTTTTCAGAGCAAATGTAAGATTTCTTTCTTATCTTACTATTTTTTGCTTTCACTAAAAATAGAATAGCTTAAAATTTTCTAGACTAGCTCTTACAAACATATGCTGCAATTGGATTTTAGATTCACAAAACAGATTATCTTAATGGAGGTACAGCACTTCACTTTGCTGCCTTGAATGGGCACTCTAGATGCATTCGGCTCCTTCTGGTGGATTATATTCCTAGTCATCCTGATGTATGGAGTATATTAAGGAAAAGATCTATTAAAGAAGAATCAACAATTGAATTTGATCAAGGGTACATTCATCTCATTGTTATTCCTATGCCTCGATTATCTTCTCTTCCCAAATAATTGGTTGATAATTTTCTACATTTCATTTTCTTTGCATCAGTGCTCTCTCCAAGGTAATTAATAAACCTTCTGATGGGGGCATTACAGCTCTTCATATGGCAGCACTGAATGGGCATGCTGAGAGTGTGCAATTACTCTTGGACCTAGGAGCTTCTATTTCTGAGGTTACTGTGAAAGATGGCACAACAATTGACCTGCTTGGTAATTTTTTCTTCCTTTCAGATTTCATATTACTCATTCCCTGGGTTAACTAGATCTTTCTTGGCCACTTGATGATTAGAAAAACTTTTTGTGTCTTGGTGTTCATGATCCACTTTAGTTTGTTTTTTTTTCCCCTTTTTTTTCAATTTTAATTAATATTTGGGCTTTTCTCTCAGCAATGATTTTTATCTTATAATTCTTTTTTGGATACAGTTGTAGCTGTATTGTTTTCACCTTCCTCTTATCAGAAGACAGGAAATATATTCAATTCTTAATTATTTGCAGAACCTATATATTCAGTTATTTTGCTACTGGTTTGGAGGCTATTCTGAATTTTGGAAGATAAAATACATTTTATAATTAATGGTACTCCCAGCTCCATTTGTATGTTTATGTATATGCATATTGACCTTTACAGGGTAACATTTCACAAATCAATACATGAATGTGTGTATGAAGGAAGGGTAAAAGGGGCATAACATTGCTATAATTGACATTGTTTGATTCAATTTGATTTATATATGCATTATGTGGGTGAAACTTTCATTCCTCATCCCCCCTTCAGTCACTTGGGTTGTTAACACAACATACTTGGAATTAATTGACTGGAAAATACTAAATTGAAAGAACAACGAATGATAAGGATATCTTATATTCCCATCTACAAAATAATATTCTGCTCCATACTTTGGGAACAAAATCAGCTACCTCAGAGTGCCATAAGAGATTTCTTGTCGTGCTAAGATATTCAACCAACATGAGTGTATGACTTGAACCATTTAATCATTGCCAGGTGCAGGAAGCACACCACTTCATTATGCTGCATGTGGTGGAAATTTACAATGTTGTCAAGTATGTTGCTTTTATGCTTTGAATTGATTATTTACTTGAAAGTTTCATATTAAGTGGGCCTTACTTTATTATTCATATTTTGGATTCAGGTTTTGATTGCTAGAGGTGCCAGTGTGACTGCTGAAAATGCAAATGGGTATCTCCTTTACTTAACACCCTGCAGTTTTATTTTCTACCTGAAATTTGTATTCCTTCTGTTTTTCATCATGTAACTATTCAATTTCTTAGAACATTGGTATCAGTTCTTGAGCAATGAGCAGAGGAGGAGCCTGGAGGGGTCCATTCAGTTATATGTTCTGGTTACTCTGTTCTGACATTTTAGATTCCCCTGGCCTCTTAACCCATGAGAGGACTTCTCTTCTAAATCTTATAAATTTGTGAATATCTCCAGTTTGACTGTCAAAAGATAAATTTGAATTTGGAAAATTATTTCAATCATGTGCTTGAACTAGGTTTTGGTTCAAGGAAAGAAAACAGCATGATATAACTTAAAAGACAATTAAAAATTTAGATTTGCTTGGTCTCCATTGGAAGTAGAGCCTAGGTTGACTGGATTTTTGTTTCCTTTTATTTTTCTGCAATGGATCAATTTTGGTAGATAATGTATATACAATTGCCTGGTTGGGTGGAGTGAACACTTTACTCTTTTCCACTTCAATATTTCCTTTCTTTTCAGAGATATAAGTGCTTATTTCTCTCCTCCATTCTTAAAGTATAAATCTGCACATGGTGTCATGTCAGGTTTTTTGACTGATTTGATCCATATATTCCTTTCTTATTTCCTTTTTCAGTTCTTGACAAATTTTGGAGGTGATCCATCATATTACCCTTGCTAATGGTACCACATCTCTTATATCTAAGTTGTTTAAGGTGACGCCTAAAAACAAAGGAAGAAGAAGAGAAAAGAGGAGAAGAAGAGAAGAAGAAATGTTACGAAGGTGTATCTCGAGTTACTGTTCACACCAGAGACTAAAAGTTTATAATGTTGCCGAGAGGGGTATAAGAGATTCTGGACTTGGAACTTGGGATTTTGAAGGGGTATAAGAGATTCTGGACTTTAGAATGCACTTTACTTGAACTGTTGGAAGAAGTCTTTCTTGATCCTTCTAAGGTTGATAACTGAATTTGGACCTGTACTCTTTATGGTATCAGTTCTTGAGCAATCAGTAGAATGTTACTACAAGCTGTGCCGACAGTGATGAGAGATGGTTTGACTTATCCATGCTTGTCTTCCCTCTTTTCTTCTCTTCCTCTTCTCTATCTCTTCCCTACTTCTTTCCGTTTCTTCTTTTCTCTTTTTCTTTCGCTTTACTTTTCTTTATTAAAGTTGGGACATTAAGAATGCCTTCCTTCTTGGTCAATTGAAGGAGACAATTTACATGAAGCCTCCCCCTGGTTACTGCAATGATCCTTCTTTGGAGTGTTTCTTGAAGAAATCTCTATATGGTTTGAAACAGACTCCTCGGGCTTGGTTTGAGCGCTTCCGAGATGTTGTAGTTGCTATGGACATAGATAGAGCTGTTAAAAGCTGTTATTTATCTAAGTATAGTACCACAGGGGTACTATTGTAATTCTACCCTTTTATTTTTTAGTTGCTATCGCCCTGGTATATATATAACAAAAAACTGGTGCTGCCAGTACACTTTTCAGCTCTCAAATCTTTCTCCTCTCTTCTCCTCTCTTCTTCTCTCCTGCATCATAGCATTGATAACATGGTATCAGAGCAGGAGTATCAGATCTGAAAAGGAGAGATCGCACCAGACTTCCAGATCTGCCGCCTTCATCTACAGTTTGAGTGATTGAAGGTCAAGTCTCCTCATGCCTGAAGTAATCTCTCTCCTTCCCTCTTTTTTTTTTTTTCTGGTTGTGTGCTAGGGCAGAACTTGTACTAGGTCTGCTGGTTGGATGTGAGGTGACCAGCATCTCTGTCTTTCCTTTTTTGTGGGGTCGACTGACCCCTGTAAAAATCTGTAGGTCGGTGAAGACCTTTTATGTGCTGCGATAGCAGTTTTTATGCTGAACCTGAAGGTCAAAGTGACCTGTACTTTCTATAACAGCATCTATGTTTGATGCGTAGGTCAAGAATTGATCTGTCCGCCCTGTAACAACACCTGTGTTTATCAAAAAAGGGGCATGTTATAGCTGTAACAGCACCTGTGTTTTTCAAAAAGGGGGGAAGGGGGTAACAGCACTTGGTGTTATCAAAAGGGGTTGTGTTTCTGAAGAAAAAAAAGGGGGCTTCCTTTCTCCCTTGGTGTTAGCCTTTTTTTAAAGGTTTTGCTCCCACCTTACGAGTTTTTTTTTGAGTTTGTAACCATGAGCGGTGAAGATTCTCCTATGCCCGGTGTTTCCTCAATGCAGAATGGAATGAGTGGGGGTGCGGACCCATCCTTTCCCATGGCTGTTATTCCTCTCGATGGTTTAAATTATTTGGAATGGTCAAGAGGGATCAAGTTGTACATTACTGCAAGGGGAAAGATAGGTTATATAAATGGGAGAATCAAAGAACCCAATTCTGGGAGTGCTGAATATGACAAATGGAACCGGGAAAACAGCATGGTCATGTCCTGGCTTTCAATGTCTATGCAACCCCAACTAAGAAGGAACTTTATGTGGGCTGAAATGACAAATGAAATTTGGGAACAGGCAAAATCAACCTATTATGAGCTGCGTCACTATGCAAAGATTTATCAGTTATAGGTAGAATCGTCCACTTGTAAACAGGGGGAGAGGTGCCTTTCTATGTACTACTCAGACTTGACCTCTGTCTGGGAGGAGTTAGATATTATCAGAGTGTGGACTGGAAGTGTGATGAAGATGCAAAATTATACAAGAAACTTGTTTCTCAGCAGAGAGTGTTTGCTTTCCTACATGGCTTGAATCCTGCATATGAATCTGTCAGAATTCAGATCCTAGGTAGCAAGGATCTTCCCTTCGTCCAAGAAGTTTATGCTCTTGTACAATCAGAAGAAAGTAGAAGGAATTTGGTGAGCAGTTTTGGAGGGGATGCAGTTGGGTTGGCAGCAAAAGGGAGTTTGATTGCAGGTGGTGGAAATACCTTTAAGAGTGGGGACTCTCAAAAAAGGGCGGATGACAAAGACAAACTGTGGTGTACTCATTGCCAGAAACCCCGACACACCCGAGATACATGCTGGGATCTTCATGGGAAGCCAAAATGGGCTCAAGATTTGAGTAAGAAGCAAGGTTCAGATCTGAATAAAAAGTCAAGACAACAAAGTACAAGAAAGAACACTGTGGCAAACATGGCTTCTCAGGAAAATCAGCCCCCCATTACTATTGTGACTCCGACTCATGCCTCTGGATCTGACCCAAGGGAGGATATTATTAATTCCTTCTGTGACCATTTAGAGCTCTGTGGAAGAGCAACTCGTCAGATGGATGCTCCTCCCTCAACTTCATTTGCGTCTAAATCAGGTAACTCTGCCACAACTTTCCATGTAGCATCTCATACCCCTGACACTCCTTGGATCATTGATTCTAGAGCGTTTAAACACATGACTAGTACGCCCTCTTACTTTCAAACCTATCACCCCCTTTCTGGAAGAAACAAGGTGAGACTAGTTGATGGATCATACACTACCATAGTTGGTCAAGGAACCATTTCTCTTCCTCTTTGCCTTACCCTGTCTAATGTTTAACATGCCCTGAAATTTCCCATTAATTTGTTCTCTGTTAGTAGTATTACTAATTCCTTAAAGTGCTCAGTGACCTTTTTCCTTTCTTACTGTGTGATCCAGGATCTGGCCTCGGGGAAGACGATTGGTAGAGGATGTATGGTGGATGGACTTTACATGCTGGAGAATAAGGCTGGTCTTCAAGTCATAGAGTCTAAGAGTCAGGTCTATTTATGGCATTGTCGTCTTGGTCATTTATCTTTTGAGTCTTTAAAAGTGGTGTTTCCAGAGTTGTTCAAGTCAGTGTCAGTTTCAGATTTTTCTTGTCAAACTTATCAATTAAGCAGTGTAGAACTCATTTTCCTTCAAAGAATAATAAATCTGAATTTCCTTTCCACATTGTTCATTTTAATGTTTGGGAACCTGTTACTTTACCATCTGAGAGTGGCTATAAGTGTTTTATTACCATTATGGATGATTATTCTAGATATACATGGGTATATCCCATGCGAACCAGGGATGGAGTACCAAAAATTATCCAAGATTTTCAGCGGATGATCTTCACCCAATTTCAAACTGAAATTCAAATATTTCAATTAGATAATGCCAAAGAATATTTTCATAGTGATCCAAATCTCACGGATTTTTTTGCTTCACGTGGTTCACTTCATCGTAGCTCTTGTGCCTGGACACCACAACAAAATGTTGTTGCTGAAAGAAAGAACCGACATCTCCTTGAAGTGGCCCGGGGTTTACTAATTCATATGAATGTCCCCAAACAATTTTGGCTTGAGACTGTCCTTTGCGCTACCTATCTCATCAACCGTACACCCTCTCGTTGGTTAGAGTGCAAAGCCCCACATCAACTTCTTTTTCCTAAGGCTGCCCTTCTTTCCATTCCTCATCGTGTGTTTGGTTGTTGTTGTTTTGTTCAAAATTTGTCACCTACTCGTGGAAAATTAGACCCTCGTGCTATTCCTTGCATCTTCTTGGGGTATTCTTTCACTTAGAAGGGATACCGTTGTTTTGATCCTGTTTCTCGGAAGTTTTATGTTTCCATGGACGTCTCTTTCTTTGAGAGTGAGCCTTTTTTCCCTGTTTCTCCTTGGGGGAGTGTAGGAATGAGGAGAAATTGGTTCAGCTCCCTCTTCCTGATCCTCGTCCTTTTCGTGTCTTCTTTCGTTGTCACAAAGGCCAACCATGTTCAAGAGCTGTGGAGAACCTAGAAAATGTACCTCCAATGCCATCAAACTCTCTGGGGGCGGATCATACTCACTCAGGTATCTTGGTTCCTATCTATGTTCCTGACCCTATTGCTATTGATACTTCTGTTGCTAATGACCTTGACCTTCCTATTTCTCACCGGAAAGGTGTTAGATCTTGCACTAGTAAACACCCCATTTCCCACTTTGTTTCCTATGAAAACATTTCACCCTCTTTTCGGGCCTTTCTCACTTCCATTGATAGTGTTCCTATCCCTAAGAATGTGGTAGAAGCTCTT